AAATAATGTTTTTTCAGCACTCTCATATAGGGTGACACATTTCGGTCTTATGTACCACTTAAACATCACAGTTCTATCACTCAACATCTATGTGGTGCTTTTAAATACTAAATACCGAGAGCTAAAGCACAGTTACCCACCAACTTATCAATGTGAAAGTGAATAAAGCATTTTAAATGAAATACTAGTATTCTCATAATAGGTGCAAGTGAAGAAGAAATGGGTTCTTTCACCAATAAATTAACTTTACTTAATGGCCCATATATAGTCTGGGTCAGACTATTGCCTGCATATGAAATATGCAGGCTTTGTATAGAGTATTTGGTTGAGCAGTTTAAAAAAACAAGCCCAAAATAAAAAAAACTTTTCAAACATGTAACATGCAAGGAAAGATCAATTATAAAGCAGAATGAGGACAGCAAGTTGTGCAACTTAAGCTTTTTGTCTTATTATATTTGCCAAAGACGACATGTGTGTGTGTCATTCTTTCTGTCTGTAAACAATAAATCTCAGGGAGAGACTGAACAGGTTGATCCGGAGGGTCAGCAGTCTTCTAGGATGCCCTCTGGACCCAGTGGAGGTGGTGAGTGACAGGAGAATGGTGGCTAAGCTGTCATCCCTGTTGGACAACATCTCCCACCCCATGCAGGAGACTCTGACAGCACTGAGCAGCTCCTTCAGTGGCAGGTTGTGGGACGGAGAGATTCCACAGGTCTTTCCTTCCCACTGCTGTCAGACTCAACAACAAGGACTTCACAGCTGACCAAACACACACATATACACATGCACGTGCAATAACACTAAGTGCAATCCTCTTTTTCTGACATCATAACATACCATATTCTATTGTACATAGTATCTTATTTTTATTATCTTATCCTATTCCAGTGTATTTCTTAATTTTTGCTACTCTAACTTTGCACTGTCCACTTTCTGCTGTGAAAAAACACATTTCCCAAGTGTGGGACTAATAAAGGTTATCTTATATCATCTTATAAAACCTTGTACAGGTGTAGAGGTGGGTCATGTTAACAATCCATTCAAATTTGCCTTACATCCAATGAGGTCTTCAATGTCAACTTAATGATTTATTGGTCAAAAATGAACACAAAAACATAGAATTTAGAAACAGTGAAGGTTACAAGTGTGCTCTGTATTATCCACATATAGAAAGTACAGTATAAAAGTTTTAAAACATGTCACATTTGACCTTTGACCTCTCATTCAAGATCAGTAGATTGATCTGAGGCTCAAAGTGATAATCATGCTCTATAGGACTATTTAAAAATATGCATACAGGCATATTGCTAGAGTTTGTTGGAAATGAACAAAAGGCCTTTTGATGTGAAAACTAGCCACAGGAAAATACAAATTCAGTGGGAAAATAAGAACGAAACCAATGTTCAGCAAGAAAACACGAGGGAACCAAACAACTCACTCTGCCAAAGGACAGGGGAGGCTGAGACAGGAGGGCGATTATGGGGAAGTGGAGACACATGGGAAACACAGCGGGATCAAATCATCAATAACGAGATGGGAAAGTTAGGCCCAACAGAACACACAGTAGACAAGAGAGGATCATAAAACAGGAAACATTATTAATACTAAGATTGCGACTAGGATATGCAGACTTGACACAGGGACAGATGCACACAGAGACAAAACACAGACCAGACAGACAAGGAGGCCTGACCGAGGGAAACAAAGAGGTCACAAAATTAAATCTTCCAGACCCAGGAAGGGCCAGAAGATAAACTGAGACTACAAAGGATATGCTAAGAAAGCTAACGTACATATTCACTTGTAAAGAGAGACAAACAAGAGTGTAGGATTCTCACAAAAACTTAAGACATCACAAAAACCCCAAATCCACAAAGAAATAAGGACAAAGCCTGATTCCCAATACAGGGAATGATACATGGGGATTGTAAATATCACATTACTTTGAACCTCTGACCTCTTCTTGAAGGTCAAATATGTATTATTATGACCTTAGATTATGATTAAAATTCTGATAAAATGATGCTGGTTTATGGAGATTCTGAAATCACATTATAGTTTGCATTAAAATATTATGTCGCATTTGACCTCTGACCCTTTTTGATGTTACACAGCTGCGTTTCTTTCAAGTTGACCACAAAATGGGTGTTTTTTTTTGTTTGTTTTTTTTACTGCACTATAGATTTCTATGAATAGATGCAAAACATAATAATTCCATTCAAAGTGAATACTGGCTCTGGTGCTTCTTGTTTCACGTGTGCTGCATTTCACAGCTGATGTTTAAAAGCACAAAACATTAACATGTACAGCTTTTAAAAGTACATAACTCATCTTCACTTACTCCACAGCAAGTTTCATGCTTTGTAAAGCCATCCAGAGGGCAACACTTGACCTACTGTAAGACCAGTTCAGGCCTTCATGCTCCATGTTTGATGCTTCCACTGTAAACCTAATAATACTGGCTGGGTCTGTTGACAAAATCATAACATATCGAATGCCGCTGATGGCTCTATTTTTACTCTCCGTGCAGTTGTTGCCATTGCCTGCTGCAGCCCGAGTTGAGTTTACGAGCTGGAACTCGTACTAACGAGCCCACATAGTATTTGATCCAACTTTGTGAATTAGAAATGCAGGCAAAAGCTCACAAGTGCAAAGCTTCACTTTCTTTAAGTAAACAGCAGGTGGCGGCAGAGACCATCAGAAGAGCACTGCTTCATTTCCCCTGAGGACACCATGCAGAAGGCTTCATTTTCCTGCTACTTCAGCCTGCCCAGATTTGAACATTTCACAGGCAGTCCCTGCTGGCTCGCAGCAGATTTGCCATTAAGGTGAAACAGATAAGGCTGACCATGGGAAAAACCCAACCAAATGAAAGTCTTACGTCTAATAACAAAAATGAAATAGGGGGCAATTAGAAAAGAAACATCAGTTAATCTTTAATCACCAACAACCCACTAGCGGTTGTACACAGCTAGAGGTCTTGACACTTTAATGGTTGTGGTGCTTTATTTTTAGACGTTGGCCTACTGAGAAATTTGCACAGGACTAGAGCTAACCCCAAGGTGCCGCAGTGCCAGCTCTGTGTTGTGCATTTTAAACAGAGAGGGGCGGGGTGGTGGAGGGTAAAGGGAACAACAGAGCAAGGGAAAAGAAGTTTGTCAGAGTTCATTAAGTATCAAGGGAACATCGCTGGAACTGGCAGTGTAAGCCGCGCCGGGGCCCTAGTGCCATTAATCACGACTGACAAGAAACCAGGGGCCGAGGGAGGAGGTGGAGGGGAGTGAGGGGGGGAGAGCTCTGCCAGAGACTCTGGTAGTGATTATAGAACGAGGTCCAGGCAGCCCGGCCCAGGGAAGGTAAAAGACACCGCAGCTGAGGCTGCAAACTTCAGCCACCTTCATGCAGATCACACTCGCTCGCACACAGGTCGACGGAGAAGAGAGACGTCAGACTCGAGGCTGCTCGGCGGGGTCATTTCAGAGGGAGCGGGGTATTTTGGAGTGAGAGGAGAAGTGCAACGCAGTGTGTAGTGGCTGGATCTCTCCCCTCTCTCCCTCATTTATATGAGCTGAGCCTCTGGCTTAATAGCATGCAGGATGAAGAGAGTGGAAGAGCGGCAGTAACAGAGTGCCGCCCATATATCTCTGTCGGACTCCCTTATTTTCTCCCCGCACCCCCAGAAGTCTTGTGGTAGCTCGCCACGCTGCTGCCACCCCAGAAGAAGAAATAAATGGGACCGAGAAAGAAGGAGAGAAAAAGAAAGAGGCGAGCTTGTGACTCGTGAAGATGGAGGCCTCTGTTAAGTGCTGTGCTTGAAAGCCCGTCCGGCCTCATTAGCTGTCAGTTGTAACAATACTGAGCTGGCAGCGAAGACTGCTCCCAGTCTCGGTGCCATAAATCACAGGCTGACAGGGCCCTGACAGGGCTGGGAACCACCACACATGCAAGACTTGCTTATTTTCTGTTTTTTCTGCTGTTCCCTTTTCTTTCTCCTCCCTCCCTCTTTCTTTCTTTTTTTCCAATGCTCATTCTTTCCCCCCTTTTTTTATCCTTCTTTCCCTCGCCCTTCCTGCTCTTTCTTTGTTGTTACTTTTCTTTCTCTTTATCTCCCGTTCACCCCCTTCTTTCTGTCACACACACGCTTGCAACACATTGCAGCACGTCAGCAGACAGCCCGGGACAGCCTGCATGCTCACCCACTTGCTTTTTGCAGCACTTTTTCTTTGCCTTTCCATACATAAGCGTGTTTGACAGGTAGGGATTTGGAAAAATCTGTGTCTTTTTGATGGATGAGATGTGGGTGCTGGGCCTGTGTGAAACACCAGCACAGTTTAAGCTGGACTGGTAGAGGTTTTACTAAACATGCTGGCTAATTATTGTTTCCATATCAGCTAAAATTACAAA